TGCACCCATAATTTTCCACCAAAATTTGTGCTAATAGTCAATCCAAGCAGAAATTTCAAGAGCAGATGGGGGGCCGGATGAGCCACCTCCGTGGGCCGGATCCGGCCAGCAGGCCATATGTTTGACACCCCTGAGGTAGGATGACCAGATTTTCAGGAAAAACTGGGACTTTTCAAGGAAATGCCCCAAATGCCCCTTGCAATGTGGAAAGCCAGGACACTAAAACGGAAAGGAATATTCATATTGTTTCATAAGGATGGGAGTCAGAAATCCTAAGTAACTTAAAGTTTCTATGTTGGGAATGTTGCATTCCTGATTAATTGACTGAGATGAAACAATTAATTTTCTTATTGACATAGTTTTCCTGAAATGAGGTCATTAGTATGTTCATGCTCTCCCATGGGCTGCAAAACTCATAATCCTGATACATAATTTTTGGAGCACTTCAGTCTGATGCAGTTGTTTTTGTATATGTTATACTCCATTTTGATAAGCAGTAGTTTATATGGGGATTAATTAGAGTGTAGCAAATGTTTCCATGGAAACAAGTCTTGCACATTTGATTGATCCACCTCCTGAAAGATTTGCCTATCAGAGCATATTTTTACCCACTAAATTCAAATATTTTTCGACAAAACTAATCAACCCTTGGTCCCCGCGCATCCGACGGCACCGTTCGAGCGGTGGGACGTTAAGAGCATCGTGGCCAGAGAAAGGATTAAAACACACGGCGCTTGAGACTACGCTTTTATTTTTTTATCTTTTTTTTTTTCGACACCCTCACCGCCTTCGCCATCGTTGTCGCCGTCGTTGCTGCCGCCACAGACGCTCTGGATCGTATCGAGAGATGTAGATTTCATCACGACGCACTGGTAGATGATAAACGCCCACCACCTTGCCTCTTCGTGCGGGTTTGCCTTTGCTGACTCCGCCTGACGACGAACGAGTCCGTCGAAAAACTCGTCTTTATCTTCACTCTCATATGTGAACCCAGGAGCCTCTCCGTGTTTCGAAAGTTTCGTGAGCACTTCGCCTACGGTACGGTCGGACGGAGAAAATAGGTGTTGCACGACTTCACGTTCTCGTTCGTACCGTTCCTTTAACGCATCGCCATGCACCTTCGATGTTTGGTTGGGATCGTTGTCGGTCTTTTTGTTGCCACGGTGGTACTGGCGGCGACGCTTATCGCCCTGCGGCGATGGGCGTTCGGTCGACGACGACTTTTTCAGGTTGGGACGATCTATCAGTAGATCCAATTCCGATTTCACCGCTGCGGCGCCAAATTCTTCTTTTCCTTCCGACGCGTTGGCGTACGATAAGATGGCAGAGTACAGGGAATCCGAAATCCCAAACAGTCGGTTGTTGTCGTCGCCGTCGCCGTTGCCGTACTCTTTGAACGCCTCGTAAAGGAGTTCTCTCGCTGCAGAGTTGAATCCGTACTTCATCAACCACGCAAACACGTGTCCCTGGGTGCTCCAATATGTTTTTTTTTTGTATGAGGGTCGATCGCGACGCGTTTGCGATGCATCGAACGAGCACGGGATCGATAGCACCGATCGTGATCAATTTTTCTCTCAACGGAACCTCCGACTTTAACGAGATGATGGCGTTGCACAGGTTGGGTGGATTGAAAAACAGAGCACCGCCACCTCTCCGTTCGATTTTTAGAACGTTTAACAAAGATCTCTTTTTTGGGTCGGGTGTCGTCGTCGTTGTCGGGGGTGGGGTGATGGACGATGATCGATCGATGATCTCTACTTGAATCGGATACACCTTAGATATGCACGCCTCGAGGAAACGACGTATGTGCTCGTCCGACTCCTTCATCTGCGTGCGGTTACACGTCACACCACCGACTCTTCCGGTCGCACCGCCTTTCTTTCCAACACCGATCTGGATGGTGGCGTCGGACGCTTCCACGACCTCCGACGTTTCGTTTAACAGTTGCATCACCCCTTGTATCTGGATGCGGTACCGCTTGCCCTCCCTCATCTTCGGACTCCTGCTAACATCTGCGGATAAAGAACGATGAGATCGCGTTTTGATGGTGCAGTGAGAGAGAGATGAGAGATGGGACCCCGTGACCATAACTAACAACATGCCCGCACGTCACTTACAAAAAAATACGGTTTTTTTTTATCACTTCCACAGAGACTCGTTGCGAGTGTCACTAAAGTAGACGCAACGACTTCACCCTCTGTTCTCTTTTTGAAAAAAAAATGAGTTTTTTCTTAAAAAATGGGTTTTTCATCGATCGCAAAAAGACTAGCTAAATTGAGCGGGAGCCTCACGGGATCTCTCACGGTAAAGATGGAAAAGTTTGCAAAAACCGTTATCAATCAGGTGAAATCGGGAGACGGTTTCATCGACGACATCTTTAAGGGTGCGTCGGTGACCGCGTCTAAAGGTAAAGCCCTGGTGAACGGCTTTGGCGCCGCAACGCTCAAGAGACTCGCGCGATTGGGTGACATCGCGGGACTCATCGGGTCGCTCAACGCGAAGTTGGTAAATTCCATCTCGCCGACGCTAAAGAAAGCCTTTTCTTCGTTCTCGGTTGCGAGATACGCCGATCAGAGCGTAGAAGCCATCACCGTTGTGGGCCGACAAGACGTGTCCAAGATCCTCGGTGTGACCACGGACGGATTAAAGATCGTCGGTAAAAACGCGGACGAAGCGCAGGCGTCCTTGAAGGCCCTCTCGGAGGGAAAAAAATCCGTCGCGGACGGAATCGAGCGGGTAAAAAATTTTCTCACGGTAAAAAACATAAAACGCATCGTCGTGTTTGCTGGCGTCGTCGGCGTATCCGTTTACGTGTACCAAACCCTAGCGGCCGTGATGAACGCAAACAGCGGATGCTTTCTGCTCAACGTCGACTTGGGTTCTACGGTTGGCACGAACGGATGTAAGTTCGTGGAACGATCGTGCGCCCACCCGGCACGGAACGATAACGTGTGCAGCCCTTCGATCCACCCCAACTATTCACCGACCCAAAAACCCTGCGCCGGCTGGACCGGGGCGACGGATACGATCGATAACTGCAACAACAGATGCGAGTATCGCATCGACGTTAACACCGACGTCATCACCAACGTGGACACGTACGACGAGAACACGGATAGCGACGCGAGCGAAGACAAAGAGAAGGCTCACTTTGATTGTTTCGAAATGAACCTGGGAGACGCAATCGCGTTGGTCGCTAAACAAGCCGGAGAAACCGTCGGTGGAGTGATCGGTGGCGTGGCGGGCGGTTTGGCATCGGGGTTGTTTAATTCGATGGGTGGTGCGTACGTGGTGGGGGGTATCACGTGTGTGGCCGTTGCGGTCGTGATGTATTTCTTAATGCGTTGGTTCGTGTTTTCCATGCTCGTGAGCACGTCGGCGGGGGTCGTCCTCGGTTTTGCATCCGGTTATTTGGTTTACGAGGTGATGTGATGTAATAAAAAAACAGCCAAACAACCAAGGTCAACCATCCTCTCTCGTCGCGTTACCATCGATGCGTCCTCACGATGATAGTCGTCGTTTTAACGATTGTTTTATACGTGGTAGCTTCGGTGGTCGCGCTAACGATCGATGCTGCGGTGCTCGCGGTAGCGTCACTTGTGGTGTTTGCGGGATTTGTGAGTGTTGCAACACTGGGATCTTTCGTGCTTGCAGCGATCGAAGCGGTTGTCGAAGCCGACTCGGCTGGAGTGTTGTAGTTGTAGTTGCGGCGTAACCTGTTGCCGTCTGCACATGCGTCTCGTCGCAGATATAAAGTCGTGGTCTTGCGATCGAACCGATCTTTGCCCCGATCGCGATGTTGCAGACGACTTTTGTCATGTTGTCCGACACGAGGCTCACGCATTACGGGTGGACCGCAAAATGCGTAGACGTAGACGGTAAGGTCGTCTTGAATAACCTCTTTGCGTCTCTCGATCTGAGTCAACGTTTCGCCCTGTTTCACGATCGATCGGCTAAACTCGACGATCAAGAGGACAACGAGTGGTTGCTCTCGGGTTTAACGCCTCCGATCACGCATAGGATAGTGCTCTATAACGATGCCATCGATCGCGGCCGAAAGATCGGATACGTCGTAGTGGACACGGCCTGCATAAACGCCACAAACGCAAGCGCCCTGAACGGTTGCAACCTACGCGATTGCGTAGTGCACATTCCAATGTCGATGATATCTTCGATCTCCAGTCGATAACGTGGACGCCAAAACGCACCACAAGAAGTCAACGGGTGCCACCGTTGCAAGACTCTTACGGTTATTACCGCCGGAGAAAAATCCATCTGTCGTTGACTCGAAAAAGATCTCCGTCCTGTGTCCGTTTCACGACGACACCAACCCTTCCGGTGTTGTGTTTAGAGAAACGGGTGTTTTCTACTGTCGCAGTTGCAAAAAAAAGTGTAACGCCAACACCCTGATCGACGCTGTGACCGTAAAAAAAAAACGCTTGATTCTTCAACCCCGCGCCCCAACGATGAACGCTCTTTTTACCACCATTTGGCGTTGCCCAAACAACATCATCGAGACCCTCGCGAGACACGGAGCCAGCGTCGACGCCAGGGACGAAGACGGCCGCACGCCGTTGCACATCGCTGCCAGGTTCTCCAACGCTGACGCGATCGAGACACTCACGCTCGCAAATCTCGGGACCAACGTCAACGCCAGGGACGAAGACGATTTGACGCCGTTGCACCTCGCCGCCATGAAGGCGGGCGGCTGGTATCTCAGTGCAAAGGGGGCAGATGAGTGTTCTCTCGTCCGGGCATCGGACTTCGTTGCGTCGCACGTCCTCGCCACCGAGGTGATCGAGACCTTTGTGAAACGCGGGGCCGACGTTACCGCCATAAACAGATACAACCAGACGCCGTTGCGTTTTCTCTGATACCACCATCGAGGTGCCGAGGCGTGGTCTCTGATACCACCATCGAGGTGCCGAGGCGTGCGCACCTATGACGCGATTGATGCGATGCGTTGGGGTTTAAAAAGCACGACCTCGACGGTTTTTAGAATGCATCGTCGTCCCCGAGAGCTCGTTCGGCCGCAAAAGATGGATGCATTGTGGACGCTGTGTGGTCCCGTGTGTTTTATCGACGTGCTCGTGAAACGTGGAATCGACGTAAACTCTAAAGACAAATGGGGCCGCACGTTGCTGCACCACGCTGTGCTGTGTGGTGACACCGTAGACACCATCGAGACCCTGTTGGGGGCGGGGGCTGACGTCAACGTGAAAAATGCACAAGAGTGCACAGCGTTGCACATGGCGGCAGAATTCGCACGTGCGACCGTGATCAAAAGACTCGTGAGCGTTGAAGGCGTTGACGTTAACGCCCGAGACGCATGGGGTTCCACACCGTTGCATCAAGCTGCTGCAGCACATGACAACGTTGATATAGTCGACGCACTCGTGCGAGCCGGAGCCGACGTTGACGCCAAAAGCAGAGACGGATACACACCCTTACACATCGCTGCCGATTTCGATCGCGCGCGCGTGATCGAAAGACTCGTGAGTGCGGGTGCCGACGTAAAAGTCCGAGACGAATGGGGTCGCACTCCGTTACGCTATAACGCGTTGCCCGTTTTTTTTTATCATGCAGATAGAGCCGTCAGAGCGACGGACAAAGAACGTCGCACCCCCTTGCACCACGCTGTGGTACGCGGTTCCCTAGATGGGATAACGAATCTAGTAGGTGCCGGGGCCGACGTCGACGCGAGAGACATGTGGGATCTCACGCCGTTACACCTCGCTTCGCGATACGGTCGTGCGATTGCGGTCGATGTATTTGTATGTGCCGGGGGCGACATTAACGCGAGAGACGTATACGGTCGTGTGCCGTTGCACCTCGCCGTGATGTATGGGCACGCGGTGACGATGGAACGCCTCGTGATTGCCGGTGCCAGTGTTAACGCCAGAGATGAGAACGACATCACGCCGTTGCACGTCGCGGACTCCGTGGATGCGATCACAACTCTCGTTAAACTTGGAGCCGACGTCAACGCGAGAGATAAGAGGGGCATCACGCCCTTGATGGTATCGCATCGACGTACGTGACCGTTCAAGTGTTTTTTTTTTTGGTTCAAAAATATTGTCACGTCCGACATCCTGTTTTTTGAGGGCTTATCTTTTATAGACCTATATAAGACCCATTCCGTTGACGAGAGGGCGTGCACACGATCGTTTTCAACCCACGGACTGGTGGAGAGCGATCGTGTGCACCCCCGCGTGCCCCCCTCTCCCTATCTTCAATCGTGTGTGTGTGTGTGTGTGCCCTTTACCTCTCCGGGTTTTTGTGTTTACGAGGGGTGACGGCGTCCGGGGTCTTTCGTGGTGCCAAAAAAAGGAAACCCTTTCGCAGAGAGGAAACCTGGTCGTTTCGTTGTGTTTCTTTGCGAGGTGAGAGGAAACGGGGCCCGTTTCCTTACGTTCAGTGGTTTCATTTGTGTCTTGGGTTTTTTTTAGGTGGGAGACCGTGACCAGCCCACCCCATCGCTCTGAACCACGCGAGGTTGAAGCTATGCACGCGGGTAACCAACGCCTTGACGCTTGACACTCGATGCGAGAGGAGAATCCTCCCTTTTTTTTTCCCGTTTATTGTGAATAGTCTTTTTGACGCTCAAATCCCTCCCAAAACATGCAACAAATAAAGAGTCTTTCAACGATTCGTCATAATTTTTTATTTCCACGTTTCCACACACACACTTTGCTGGCGAGTTGCCGCGCACAATCGAACCGCAGCAAAGGCCACCCGTGCAAAGTTGAGACGCTGCACTGCACTATATGAACCCAGTCAGTGCACACGATGGCCCCCGTGCTGCGTAAACGTCAACCGCGCCCAACACCTCTTCTCACGACGACCAAAAAAAGAAACATCAACGCCAGGGACCGACGTGGCCGCACGCCGTTGCACCGCGCCGCCATGCGCGGAAGTAAGAAGGCGATCGAGACCCTCATCGATCTCGGAGCGGACGTCGACGCCAGAGACCGATGGGGTAACATCTACTCATACGTACGGATGATAATATAGATGGCCCACGGTCTGGAATGCCGATGACGAAAGTCCGATCGCTTGATGGAGAGGTGTATGCATTTGGTCGTTTTTTGAATAAAGAGAGACAGACAACGTTCACTTTTTTTATTTTTTGAGCGTTTGACCGTCACCGGACGCCGTAAAGAGGTTTTTCCTAAGCACGGGGCACTTTTTTTGAATAAAATCGTGGCTTATTTCTCGAGGCACAGTTTTTTCGTTTTGATATCGTTGGGGCGGGTCACTTCATTTTACGATGCCCACGCCGTTGCACCTCGCCGCCATGCGCGGTGACAAAGAGGCGATCGAGGCCCTCGAGAGACTCGGGGCGGACGTCGACGCCGGAGACCGATGGGGAAACACGCCGCTGCACAATGCTGCAGAACGCGGTCGCTCGGACGCGATCGAGACCCTCGTAAGATGTCGTGCGGGTGCTGCAAAGGTGCAGTCGGTTAAATGCCTTTCTGCCCTTGCCGTCAAACGCTCAAAAAATAAAAAAAGTTGTCTCCCACTTGTGAACAATGTCAATTTTATTCATCGTTTACGAATCAAACGAAACGTGTCCAAACGAAACCAACGTGTCAAAAACGTCAACGCCCCTGGGAACAACATTTGGGTCCCTGCCAACGGTTTCGATGTCGAAGCTGATGCCCGGTAGTCTGAATCCGACACCACTCTCGTTTTTACCAAACGGGTTGTTGGAATATCCGGTCGGTGGCTCTACCCACTCGAGACTCGAGTGGGAGACGTAACGGTGCCAACCGATGTGAGAGTGGTCGTCACCCACGGTCGATCGCTGGTTGTTGAACGTGCTCCAAAACCCCTCTCTTGCGGTTCCCATCTGTATGATCTCTAGAGAGGATTGGTTTTTTTCTAGCACATCTCGTGGGCCCTGCAGGTTTTGGTGTAAACCGATCGATATCTTCACCGGTGTACCCAAAACGCCGTTGAAGTTCATAGCATCGTCGACCTCGAAGGTTTTTGTTTTCATCACGATCCCGTCGCACCTACAATAATCTCCACGACCTCGCGGAAACGAAACCGTCCACCCGAGGTTTTTCGCGGCGTTTGATATCGCCCTACCTTGATCTCCGGCGATGACGATGATGTGTTGGTCGAGCTTGCTTAGAGGGACGTATCCTTGGTGCGCTCTGTTGTCGCAGTCGACGTAGTGGAAGTATCCATTTTTTTCGTGTTTACACACGAAAACCAGCCGCTCGGTCGGTTCGTCGACTTTGACCCGTTTAGACGAGGGTGACCGCGGTGGCGAAGTGGATCGCTTCAGACGATTCGGCGGCAACAGCGATTCGTCCATGTCGTAATAATGGGAAAAAGAAAAAAAAAAGAACAGAAGAAATAGACACCGAGTCGAAATCCTCTCTGAATACCAGCTCGAATTTAGAGATAGATTATACGAGTTCGGCTTGCCGGTTGCGCAGGCGTTCAAAAGGGTTTCACGATTCCTCCCTACGGACATTCAAGATCGCGTCAACGACGGGTTAACGTTTTTACAGTCGATAAAGACGAGCGGAGATAAGATCTTGTTAGACGACATACTCAATTTCGTGTTTGCTCTCGCCATGGAGAACGATCTGAACAAAACCAACGCGTTTAATGACGTTTTTGATTACGTTCAAAAGTACGTTAACGAGATGCTGCTCAACGACGTACGAGACGAAAAGGTAAAAAACGGGTTTGAATCGATGCTATCGACGAAAAAGAGCGATTTGGGACCGGAGGGCGAAAGGTTTTTCATGAGCGTCATCAAGAGTTTACACAACGCCGGCCTCCACGCGTCGACGAATAAATATTCTAAAAACGAAAAGGATCGGGATGTTTACCCTCGTGCGAGATGGGGTGCCTTTCGATTCATCGTCGTGGCGTGGCTTAAAAACTCTCGCCGAGCTTACGCCCTGATGAACGAGGCTCGCGCCAACAACAGAGACCCGATGGAGGTAAAGGATTATTCTCGCGGGGGTCGACGAGTGTTAGATCTCGAGCGGGCGAGGGTGTACATCAAAAATCCTAATCTTTCGGTATTCGTGCAAACATACGGTGATGCCGTTCTCTCGGCGGGTGTCAGCGAAGCGATGTTGTGCGAGGTATTGAGATACCCAACCCCCGCAATAGTTTCGCCTGTAGAAACGGCAGTTGATGATGATGAAGCCAAAACAGAGCCGAACTCTACCACGGGACCCCAAACTACGGTCGAGCCTACCTTCATCGAGTCAGCAGAACCGACCTTTACGGTCGAGCCGGCACCCGTCTTTGCCGCACCACAAACGACGGTCGACCCAATCGCTCCAACACCTGTTCTCGTAGCGACGGCGGTTGAGCCGGCACCCGTCTTTGCACAACAAACGACGGTCGAACCGATCGTTCCAACACCCCAAACGACGGTCGAGTCGACCTTTATCGCAACTGTTCCCGTAGCAACGGCTGTCGAGCCAACATCCGTATCCGAGCCGGCGCTACCAGCGGTGGTATCAATATCGCATCTGCCTAACCCGCCTAACAGAGCCACAGTGGCTGCGGCACCCGCAGTTGTGGCTCCCAACGAGCATAAAAGGGTGCATAAGCCGCCTAACAGAGCCACCGCGAGTGCGACGTTCGAGGAACCGTCTCGAAAGAAAAAAAGGCCCACGTGATTTTATGATTCTTTTATTTCGATCGGTCGCAACGCATTCTCCCCGATCGGCTTCGAATCTCATTCCACTTCTGCATCGTCCGGCACCCCGCACGTCACCGTTGGGTCCGCACGTCAGGAACAAACCACCCCCATCACCGCCACCGGACACGACGGCTTCGTCGTTGTGGCTTATTAATCCTCGCCTCAGGGCCTCGACGTAGACGTTAGCGTTAAACGAGATCGCGTCTCCCGCCTTTTTGCCGACGCACAAGAGGCGATCCCCTAACCGTCCACCGACGGTGCATCTTCCAGAACTAAATTGTTCTCCCTCGGGGCACGTTTTTAATATCGGCTCTTCGAACGGGATACACACGTGATAGACGTTTTTTCTACCAAAGGGATCTTGGACGAACTTTACCTTGTGCGTCTCGCCGACTTCGTAGTGACAACCCGTCTTGTTTCGATTCACCGAAACGAACGCGTTTCCGTCAAAATAATCGTTGGGATCGGATGTTGTTGCAACGAGCTCCCCGGTCGTTCCGTTAAATACTCGATTCCGTACGCGATACCACGGTGGTACCTTTGTGCGGTCTGCCGTCGGCATAGGAACGATCGGTCCGTCGACCAGCACGCGCGGTAGCTCGGACGCGATCAATTTTGCGTCGTCCGGTATCATCAAAGTAGCCAACAAGACAACGGCAACTGCGATGGCGATCACGACGACGGTGGTGTTTATCATCGTTTATTTTTTCCAACCTCACCTACGTTTATGGAAAAAAATAATCAGCAGACTAACCTGATTTTCCACTCTAAAACCACCACCAATGAAGGCGTGGAACGCCTTCCGGTACGTCAGAAGAGAGAATGCCGCAATCTAGCCCGATTTTCCAGTTTCTCAGCTGATCATCCAGATCAGCGATCTCTTGAGAAAAAACGCCTTCCTCGTGTTGATTCGAGCTTTCTTCTTGATTCAACGGTAAGAGCTCAACGAAGTATTGAATGCCAGACCTCACTTTGCAAATAGCGATCGAATCACAGTTGCCCCAGTAACCGAGGTTCAAATCACCGTACGTTCCAATGAACACCCTCAGGGCAAGAATGCGCTCTCTTGATGCCACTAGTATTTCACTAACAAGGTTTCTCTGCTCTCGATTCAAATCGTTCAAAGTTTTGCAGATCAAACCGAGGTGAAAAACGGTTGTGAATAACGATTGAGTTATTTTAGTCTTTAGGAGGTGCTGTTTCACCTTTCTCAAAAGGTCACTCATCACCATAGCCATTTCACACGCTTTGACGTTTAAAAAGACAAGGTCGTGCGGGTTTTCGTTTAGTTATAGATGTCATCGTCGTTTGCGTGGGCGGACTCTGAACCCCAGATCGAATGGTTCGAACGCGACA